CCTGACTCAGTCACACATGGTGCAGCAGGTCCTTCAGCGCTTCGGCTTCACGTACTCCTCGCCTCAGGCCACTCCTCTGCCTACTCGCCACTCGCTCTCAGCTCTGCCTTCGGATGAGTCTGTAGAGTCGAGTGGCCCGTACCCAGAGCTTCTTGGCTGCCTCATGTACCTGATGACCTACACACGACCTGACCTCGCATACCCTCTTAGCATTCTCGCACGCTATGTTGCTCCTGGGAGACACAGACCGGAGCACATGGCTGCAGCGAAGAGGGTGTTGCGTTACTTGTGCAGTACGTCGGGCATGGGGCTTGTGCTTGGAGGGCAGAGTCCAGTGGTCCTCACTGGGCACGCAGACGCTTCTTGGGCTGACGACCAGGCTACGCAGCGGTCGTCACAGGGTTACACCTTCAGCCTTGGTTCCGGCTCTGTTTCGTGGCGGGCTACCCGCTCGTCTTCTGTTCTCGGCTCCAGTTGTGAGGGTGAGATCTACGCCGGGGCCATGGCTGCACAGGAGCTTCGCTGGCTCACCTACCTGCTGACTGACCTCGGAGAGCCGCCTCGTTCTCCTCCAGTGCTGTACGTAGACAACAAGGCCATGCTGGCCTTGTGTCGAGAGCAGAGACTGGAGCACAGAACGAAGCACATTGCTCTCCGCTACTTCCTTGCTCGTGAGCTACAGCAGCGTGGTCAGCTGCGGCTTGCGTACGTGGCCTCTCAGGCCAACACTGCTGATATCTTCACCAAGGCACTTGCGCCTTGTGATCATCAGCGCTTCTGTACTCAGCTGGGTCTTGTGCCTACCTTGACTCACTTGCTCACCCCTTGACCTTGTTTGTACTGTTGCATATATATATATACACCTGCTCTTGCTTGTCTAGCCTTATATATATATGTAATCCTACATGTGAACTGGCCTTGTGGCCTTGAACTTGTGCTCGGAATGTGTGGTGACTTTGTGATCCACCCTGAGCTTGCTTTGCTTTGCTTGACTGGTCTTGTGACCCCTTGTTCTCCCCCACTTTGCCTATGGGGGTGTGTCAGATTTATATGTCATAACTACTGTAGGTTATAGTGGGGTAGCACATATGGGGTACAGTTTTCTAGGGTTTACATTTGTACCCAACTTTCCCTTAGTCATTCATTCTCGTTTCTATTTTCACACTACCGTACCCTCCCAGATTCCTATGGAGTCTTAAAGTCAAGTGCCTAAACACTTTGTCTTGCCCGTTTGGGGCTCTCTTTGCAGAGTTGCCACACTTTAGATCAGGTAGAAAATTGTTGACATTTTTTTGCCTGTTGGCACACTTCAGCACCTCCATAAACACCCTTGTAACCAGCTGCTGAGTATGTCGCTTCAACCTTGAACAATTACCTCCGAACCTGCCTTGTCTAGTATGGTGGGGTTTGTTTGCAACAAAAACAGCTCTGGTTCGTTGCTGCCGAACGGGGCCTTGGTGACTGATTTGACACTTCAGCCTTGCTCGGTTGGCTCCGAACCTGCATTGCCGAGATTGGTTGAGTTGGGTTACAGCAGAAATTGCCCTGCTTTGAAGTTGCTGCCTGGCAGGGCCTTGGGAATGAGTGCTTCCTCTCATTGCAGCCATTCGAGAGTGTGTGAGTGGTGTGGTGGGAGCAGCAGAGAGCAAAACGCCTTCAGAGAAAAAAGCACCTCCAGCAGCTCGCCCTGATTCATGGCGCCGAAACGTTCTGACGATTTCGTCGGTATCTTCCAAATGAAAAAATGCCTCTTGTAGCGAAGGGAAATTCACAGCGTCGGAAGCTTCCACTTTTGATCTCCTGTTTTCCTTGCTCATTAAAGCGACGGTGCACATTTGCCACCCAAAACCCAGAACCCTGGCGAACTGTTACTGCGGATGGAAAGTGTCCGCACGAAATCCTGGTTTTCGCCAGCCAGCACTTTCGCGCTGGCAAGCCTGGTTCAAAAAAAAAATCTTCTGAACCCAACACTGCCAAAAGTTGCCCGTCGCTTTAAATCAGAGTAGCCTTCGACTCTCTTCATCTGCAGCTCCCTTGATCTGGCTTTTGATGTCATAGCGTCGACCAGAGTTGTATTACGAAAAGCATCTTCGACATCGAAACCTTAAGTAGACAAGCTTAAAATAGGAAAATCTCGATGCTCCCCCGACATGCTTTGCCATGACGAAAAAACTTCAATCCGTTTCTTTCGTTGAGACTTGCGATGCTGCTGTCGTCTTGATTTATGTTGAATGGCAGAAAACGACGATAATCTGAAGACATTTCGGTTGGTAATTATCTTGCACTTGATCTTGCAGCCTTGATTTGCATGAGTGTCGATCTCGTTCTGCTCCTTTGGAAATAGCGCCGGAACCGTCTTAACTTCGTAAGGAAGAATAGAGCAATGTCTTGATAAGCACGTGCAGTTCATTGACTGAAGAACAGGATCAAGCAGGAAAATACTTGACGACCCAATGCTCTGTGTGTGAGCACAATGTTGGTGTCTTGATAAAGTTCCTATGCGTAGATCCCAAAAATAGATTCAGATCCTGAAACTGACACTGTTGAGGCTGACATTGTTAGCATTGTAAGTCCTTGACAAGAGTGACGGCGACTAGCCATGGCGGAGAGCGGAGAGGCCAGCAGTACCATTGAGTTTGAGGGGGGGGGGGGGGGAGGTGAGGTGAGCAAGCTGATAGCGGGCTGTCGAAGGCAGCGGCGTTGGCGGGAGCAAGCAAAGGTATGGACGGTGGAGGGATTGATTGGGAGGAGCTCAATGAATTCTGCAGTGCTAGGCACTCTGTCCTTGGCCCTTCCTCTCCAACCAACCCAATTCCCAAGGCCGCCAGCCACCCCACCAGCATGGGGAAGCTTGGGGAGGATGAAAACTTTCCAAGGGGTGTGCCTTGGGAAATACATCCCAATGGCCCCTGGACGCAACTCAGTTGTTTTCTGGAGTATAAGCATATTTGGGGTTCAATATTCTGTTTGTTACGTAAGTTTCTCTGGTCCAATGCAGAGTATGCGCTGTGAACAGAACTTTTGGTTCCCTGTCGAAAGTGCATGAATTGCGGGCAGCAGAGGAGAACTCGTCAAAGGGCAGTGTTTTGCATTGGCTCGCCGCTGATGTCAGAAACCCTTCGGGCCTCGCGATTTGTTGCGAAACTTGTTTGGCCGAGAAACCGCGAAGTATCCGACGCTTTCCAAGAATTGACCAATCATGTGGTTTGCGACAACGGTAAACTAGGTAGCGACGGATAGAGATGGAAAACACCGCCTGGGCAGACTTTCCTGCCCTTCATTTTCAGTAGTGCGCTAAAATATATGTTCGAGCAGTAGTGTATCATCGAAAAAGAAGAAATAAATGTTCGAGCTCACTCTGTCTTGTCCAACAAAACAAAAAAGCTCACGCCACCAGCGCAACTTTTCCGAACATATACACCCCGTTTTCCCCATGGTTTTGGCAAAGCGAAGGCGCGCGCAAACCGAAGCGCCAAATCACTTTCCGCGACTGATTTCGGGAGCAAAAGGGGGAGCGGCGGAGGAAAGCCGTTGGGCAAGCAGCCTTGGGGTTGGTGGCTGGCTGGGTTTTCCTGATTCGTGCTGCAGCGTCGGGAGGCTAGCAGACAAGCGCAGTGGGTGGTTCAGCCAAACCTGCTTCCACCACCCACACATCTCCACTCTCCCCTTCTCCCGTCGCACGCAAGTCACCCCACTCAGTCGCCCAACCCACAGAGCGTCGCATTGTTTGTTGCGATTGCTTGTTCGCACTTTCATTGTCGTAGTCGCACATTTACTCAAGTGACCTTTCTCAAGCAGGCTCTTCTCTTGGACATTCAAGCGACCATTCTAATTTATGGCGTCAGTTTTCCATTGCGAGCGACTTTCCTTGCCGTTGCTGCGACTTTTTCTGGTTATGATGATGAGAGTCTGGCTTGAAAACGTCATACCTCAAGTGATGGTAGAGGGCCTCTGCTCACTGCAACATTTCTTTCAGCCCAACAACGATTTTGCTTGATTCTACTCGCGCGAGACGATAGTCGGCGCTTCTCGAGACGGTTCTTCTCGCTGGGCGAACGATTTTAACGACAGCTACGGTTCTTCATCCGTGCGGCGTTTACATTCCCGTTGATATAGCATCTTGCGAGCGACAATATCTACCGCTGGTCAGAGTTCTTCTCGCTGGCGATGTTGGGCGAAGATTCCTCAATTTGCCTTATTTTTCTCGCCAAAGACGTTAGTCGGCGCTCGCGGCCATCCTTCTTGCTGGCGATGGTTCGCCTCTCGTGCGACGTCTCCTTTCCGTCTATCTAGCTTCTCGTCGGCGACGATTTTCAACGCTGGTCGCATTTATTTTCGCCGACGACGACATTTATCGCTGGCGACGGTTCGTCTGGCTCGCGACGAGTCGTCTCGTCGCAGACGGCTCTTCTCGTTTGCGACGAGCTCTTGCCAGGCAGCGATTTCAATCGCCGACGTGCAGTGATGCCGACGAGGTTAGTCCGCGCAGTTCCCTTCAATTGTCCGTCGTTTCCCGCGTCGTTTCGCGCGTCGTTTCGCGCATCGTTTCGCGCAGATTAGCGTATTCAAAGTCGCCGTCGCCAATTTCCGTCTTCTCACCTTCCGACTTGGTCGCGTGTTCTCCGTGGTATGGCAGACGCGTTCGGCGATGCGCCGTCGTCGCGAGCGTTCGTGCATCTCGCGAGCGAGCGAGCCGTTCATGGCAGCGATTCCAATCGGTGACGCGCTCAGTGCAGCGAGCGAGCAAGCAAGCCGCGCGCGCTGCTGCGGGGAGCTGCGCGACGGCGTGTGCGCATGCGCGCAACGAAAGCACGTGGCGCGCGCCGCTGGCGGAGACGGGTTCACCTCGTAGCGCCGTGCTGCGTGGCCCACGTCGCACGCTGGCTCGCGCTCACGTCACCGCGTGCTCGTCAGGTCAGCACTGCTCCGCTCTCCACTCTTCCGCTCAGCACTCCTCCGCTTTGCTGATTGATTGGCGTCCGCCGTCCCACCTGCAATGCATGGCCTCATGTTCATTCGGAAAATCATCCCATTTCGCTCTTCCCGCACCTGCCGCCTTCCCTCGCACTCCTCGTTTCCGCTCTCTCACCTTTCTCTTGCCCTTTCTCACTCGCATGCACCCCCCTCTCCCTGCCTCACCACCTCACCGCCCTCCTCCCTTTGTAACCCGCTTCTCCACCCCCCCGCCTCTTCTCTTATCCCTCCCTGGCAGGTCACTGGCGCAGCTGCACTCAACAGGCAGCATGGAGCAGGCAGCAGACAGCACGCAGCAGACAGCAGGGAGCGGGCAGCAGTGAAGCGTTGACTATCTCCGCCTTCAAGCTAAGTGCCTTGTACTCGCTGTTCAAGGTTTGCACTGTTGCACTGTTTGCGTGTCGCATCTCCATCCAAATCGGGCCATTCGTGAGGGCACAACTCGCGAGTCACAGACCATTCCTTCCTCAGGTTCAGGTTCAGGTTCAGGTTCAGGTCATACAGCCCGTCAGGTTCCCTTGGGGTCTGTGGCTTGTGGTTGCGCCTTCACCAATGGCCTTCCTTCCCGTCCCTTGCTGTTATTTGTGCTCTGGTTGTGGTTGCGCCTCCACCATCACACTCGACGCACTCCCTTCCCCCATCATCCCACATCAACGAATCTCGTTTCCACTCCTTCTCATCTCATCCTGCCCTGCCCTGCCCTCCCTGCCCTCCCTGCCCTGCCAGGTCTGCACAAGCCAATGGGAGAGCAGCGGGCGAGCAGCAAGCAACGGGGAGTGCCAAGGCGGGCAGCAGGGCAGCAGCGCCGGCCTCATCAACGGTTGAGGTTGCAGTATCGCCCCGCCACCACACTCCACATGAGCCCCCTCCCCCTCAGGTTCAGGTTCAGGTGCAGGTTCAGGTTGGTAGTGGCTCTTGTGGGGTTGTGGTTGGCATCACATGCACCGTCGTTTCTGCTGTTGCACTTGTACACTTCTCTCCATTGCAACCCCTTATAACTTCGTCTGCCTTTCTTCTCATTCCTTTCCCCCCTGTCCTCCCTTCCCTGTCAGGCCTGCACAAGCCAAAGGGAGGGCAGCAGGCGAGCAGCAAGCGAGGGGGGCGCCAAGGCAGGCAGCAGGAGCGCGGGCAGCAGGGCAGCAGCGCCGGCCTCATCAATGGTCGAGGTTGCAGTATGGCCCCGCCACCACACTCCACATGAGCCCGCTCCCCCTCAGGTTCAGGTTCAGGTTCAGGTTCAGGTGCAGGTTCAGGTGCAGGTTGGTAGTGGCTCTTGTGGGGTTGTGGTTGGCATCACATGCACCGTCGTTTCTGCTGTTGCACTTGTACACTTCTCTCCATTGCAACCCCACTTAACTTCCTCTGCCATTCCTCTCATTCCTTTCCCCCCTGTCCTCCCTTCCCTGTCAGGCCTGCACATTGCACAAGCCAAGGGGAGGGCAGCAGGCGAGCAGCAAGCGAGGGGGGCGCCAAGGCGGGCAGCAGGAGCGCGGGCAGCAGGGCAGCAGCGCCGGCCTCATCAATGGTCGAGGTTGCAGTATCGCCCCGCTACCACACTCCACATGAGCCCGCTCCCCCTCAGGTTCAGGTTCAGGTGCAGGTGCAGGTTCAGGTTCAGGTTGGTAGTGGCTCTTGTGGGGTTGTGGTTGGCATCACATGCACCGTCGTTTCTGCTGTTGCACTTGTACACTTCTCTCCATTGCAACCCCTTATAACTTCGTCTGCCTTTCTTCTCATTCCTTTCCCCCCTGTCCTCCCTTCCCTGTCAGGCCTGCACAAGCCAAAGGGAGGGCAGCAGGCGAGCAGCAAGCGAGGGGGGCGCCAAGGCAGGCAGCAGGAGCGCGGGCAGCAGGGCAGCAGCGCCGGCCTCATCAATGGTCGAGGTTGCAGTATGGCCCCGCCACCACACTCCACATGAGCCCGCTCCCCCTCAGGTTCAGGTTCAGGTTCAGGTGCAGGTTCAGGTGCAGGTTGGTAGTGGCTCTTGTGGGGTTGTGGTTGGCATCACATGCACCGTCGTTTCTGCTGTTGCACTTGTACACTTCTCTCCATTGCAACCCCACTTAACTTCCTCTGCCATTCCTCTCATTCCTTTCCCCCCTGTCCTCCCTTCCCTGTCAGGCCTGCACATTGCACAAGCCAAGGGGAGGGCAGCAGGCGAGCAGCAAGCGAGGGGGGCGCCAAGGCGGGCAGCAGGAGCGCGGGCAGCAGGGCAGCAGCGCCGGCCTCATCAATGGTCGAGGTTGCAGTATCGCCCCGCTACCACACTCCACATGAGCCCGCTCCCCCTCAGGTTCAGGTTCAGGTGCAGGTGCAGGTTCAGGTTCAGGTTCAGGTTGGTAGTGGCTCTTGTGGGGTTGTGGTTGGCATCACATGCACCGTCGTTTCTGCTGTTGCACTTGTACACTTCTCTCCATTGCAACCCCTTATAACTTCGTCTGCCTTTCTTCTCATTCCTTTCCCCCCTGTCCTCCCTTCCCTGTCAGGCCTGCACAAGCCAAAGGGAGGGCAGCAGGCGAGCAGCAAGCGAGGGGGGCGCCAAGGCAGGCAGCAGGAGCGCGGGCAGCAGGGCAGCAGCGCCGGCCTCATCAATGGTCGAGGTTGCAGTATGGCCCCGCCACCACACTCCACATGAGCCCGCTCCCCCTCAGGTTCAGGTTCAGGTTCAGGTTCAGGTGCAGGTTCAGGTGCAGGTTGGTAGTGGCTCTTGTGGGGTTGTGGTTGGCATCACATGCACCGTCGTTTCTGCTGTTGCACTTGTACACTTCTCTCCATTGCAACCCCACTTAACTTCCTCTGCCATTCCTCTCATTCCTTTCCCCCCTGTCCTCCCTTCCCTGTCAGGCCTGCACATTGCACAAGCCAAGGGGAGGGCAGCAGGCGAGCAGCAAGCGAGGGGGGCGCCAAGGCGGGCAGCAGGAGCGCGGGCAGCAGGGCAGCAGCGCCGGCCTCATCAATGGTCGAGGTTGCAGTATCGCCCCGCTACCACACTCCACATGAGCCCGCTCCCCCTCAGGTTCAGGTTCAGGTGCAGGTGCAGGTTCAGGTTCAGGTTCAGGTTGGTAGTGGCTCTTGTGGGGTTGTGGTTGGCATCACATGCACCGTCGTTTCTGCTGTTGCACTTGTACACTTCTCTCCATTGCAACCCCTTATAACTTCGTCTGCCTTTCTTCTCATTCCTTTCCCCCCTGTCCTCCCTTCCCTGTCAGGCCTGCACAAGCCAAAGGGAGGGCAGCAGGCGAGCAGCAAGCGAGGGGGGCGCCAAGGCAGGCAGCAGGAGCGCGGGCAGCAGGGCAGCAGCGCCGGCCTCATCAATGGTCGAGGTTGCAGTATGGCCCCGCCACCACACTCCACATGAGCCCGCTCCCCCTCAGGTTCAGGTTCAGGTTCAGGTTCAGGTGCAGGTTCAGGTGCAGGTTGGTAGTGGCTCTTGTGGGGTTGTGGTTGGCATCACATGCACCGTCGTTTCTGCTGTTGCACTTGTACACTTCTCTCCATTGCAACCCCACTTAACTTCCTCTGCCATTCCTCTCATTCCTTTCCCCCCTGTCCTCCCTTCCCTGTCAGGCCTGCACATTGCACAAGCCAAGGGGAGGGCAGCAGGCGAGCAGCAAGCGAGGGGGGCGCCAAGGCGGGCAGCAGGAGCGCGGGCAGCAGGGCAGCAGCGCCGGCCTCATCAATGGTCGAGGTTGCAGTATCGCCCCGCCACCACACTCCACATGAGCCCGCTCCCCCTCAGGTTCAGGTTCAGGTGCAGGTGCAGGTGCAGGTTCAGGTGCAGGTTCAGGTGCAGGTTCAGGTTGGTAGTGGCTCTTGTGGGGTTGTGGGTGGCATCACATGCACTGTTGTTTTTGCACTCGCACTGCTGTCAGGCACTCTTTTCATTTCAAAGGCTTGTTTCCTCCACCTGCCACTTACTATCTCTCTATCTCTCTCTCCCTTCTCCTCTGCCTCGCAGGTCCGTCCCTTCAAGCCCTGCTCGCCCTGCCCACTCTCCATGGAAGCACCCCCTCCTCTCCGCCTGCACCACATAATCAGCTAAGTACCCTTGTCCCCCATGCCCGCACCCTTGCCTGCACCATCGTTTCGTTTGTCGCATCTGCTTTGCACTGTCTTCTTGAAACTTTGCCACTGGTCGAGCGCGCTTCACATGCTACAGACCCCCACTCTTCAGGTTACCCCCTCAGGTCAGGTGCAGGTAACCCTCTCAGGTGCAGGTAACCCTCTCAGGTGCAGGTACGCCCCTCAGGTTGCTTTTCAGGTGTTCTTGGGTCTGTAGCTTGTGGCCGTGCCTCTAACAGTGGCAAACCTTCCATTCTCTTGCGCTGGATTCGAACGCACGGTTTCCTATTCAACTTGATCACACCACCATGCTCTGACTAGCTCTGTGTGTGCGCATTGCAGGTGGCGGGGAGGGGCGTGGGGGTCAACACCGACACTCCCTCACGCTCCTCCCCTGTGGCCGTGCAGATGGCAGTGGTGGGAGGGGAGGGGACAGCACTCCACTCGGCTGGGATGGGAAGGGAGAGTATCGGGATTGGGTCTTCTGGAACAAGGTGAGCCTCTTTCCCTCTTACGCTCATGCTGCTGCTTGGTCTTCTCCCCATGCTCACTTCCCTTTCTTGCTTCCTCCCTGCCTTCACGCTTGCGCTTGCTCTTCTTCCCATTCTCACTGCTGTCCCTTGTTCCCTGTCTGCCTGCCTCTCCCTTCCTCCCAGCGTTCTGCCAGCGCCCAGTGCAATGAAGGCTGTAGCAGGGCGGCAAGGGGGAGCAGGAGGGCAGCACAAGGGGGAGCAGGAGGGCAGCAGATGGGGGAGCAGGAGGGCAGCAGATGGGGGAGCAGGAGGGCAGCAGAAGGGGGACATGGAGTGCACAGGCAGCAGCTGCTCTCCACCCAACCCACCCACAGCTAAGTACCTCGACCTTCCTCTGTTCTCCCAACCCTCGCACTCTGTTGCTTTTTGTGTGCTGCCCACTGTCCCACCCAAGAGACCTGAGCCTCACTTAAAACTTGATCCTCTGGTCATGCCACAACTTCAAGCCACAGACCCCTTTTTTTTTCCCGGTAAACCACCCCTGGTACGGTATTCTTTCTGGTTAAGCCTCCCTTGGTATAGAGCCCTTCTGGGTCTGTGGCTTGTAGCTGAGACTGCACCAGTGGCCCCCTTTTCTGCTGTCACCTGCCACCCCACTCCACCCCACCCCACCCCACCACACCGCACCCATGCTGAGCTGCTTACTCACTTCTCTTCAGTTCTCTCCTTGCCGGTTTAGGGGAGGGGCGTGGGGGTCAACACCGCCACTCCCCGCACCCCTCCCCTTGTGGCCATGCAGGTGGCAGTGGTGGGAGCGGAAGGGGGCAGCACTCCACTCGCTGGGATGGGATGGGAGAGTATCGGGATTGGGTCGTCTGGAACAAGGTGAGCCTCTTTCCCTCTCCCCGTTCTCACTTCCCTTTCTTGCTTCCTCCCTGCCTTCACGCCTGTGCTTGCTCTTCTTCCCATTCTCACTGCTGTCCCTTGTTCCCTCTCTGCCTGCCTCTCCCCTTCCTCTCAGCATTCTGCCAGCGCCCAGTGCATTGAAGACTGTAGCAGAGCGACAAGGGGGAGCAATAGGGCAGCAGATGGGGGAGCAGGAGGACAGCAGAGGGGGAGCAGAAGGGGCAGCAACAGAGCTTCGACTTTCCCTTCCAAAAGCTAAGTGCTCTACCCTCAAGGTCTCCAGCCCACTTGTTGCTGCTTGTTCCGTTCTGTCCCGCTGTGCTCTGTTCTCTCTGCTCGCATGTCACGCGCCCATCCCTGCTCTTGCTGCAAGCGGACACGCCTAGGGTTTCAACCACCTCCCCAGGTAACAGATGGTAGGTTCAACCTAAGGTAGCAGGTGCGCTTCTCCTCAGGTACTTACAGCCCCAGGTGTGGTACCACGTGGTAGACACCATTGGTAGTGTCCCCCTTGCAGCCAGAGCTCTCTCCCCTTGCACTTGCTATTGCTCTGCTTGCTGTTTCCATCTTTCCCGTCCTTCCCTGCCTGCCTACTGACCAGCTCTGCGTGTGTGCCTTGCAGGTGGAGGGGAGGGTGTGCGGGTCAACACCGACACTCCCCCGCACCTCTCCCCTTGTGGCCGTGCAGGTGGCAGTGGTGGGAGGGGACGGGGGCAGCACTCCACTCGGCTGGGATGGGATGGGAGAGTATTGGGATTGGGTCGCGAACAAGGTGAGCCTCTATTCCCTCGTGCATCTTGCTGCTTCCCTGTTTTGCTCCCTTCTGCCTTTACGCTTCCCTGATTTGCTCCCTTCTGCTCTTCTCACTGCTGTCCCTTGCTTCCCTGCCTCCCTCCCTCTCCCCTCCCACCCAGTGCATTGAAGACTGTAGCAGGGCAGCAGGGGGCAGCAGGACGGCAGCAGCAGGGCAGCAGCGGAGGGGAGGGGAGGGGCAGCAGCAGCAGCAGGGGAAGCAGAGTAGCAGACCGGCAGCAGCAGAAGCGGCAGCAGCAGCAGCAGCAGAGGGGGACGGGGGGCTAGGCTAGGCTAGATGTAGCGGTGGGGAGGTATGGTACAAGGTATGGTATGGTAACAAGGTGTGGTATGGTTACAGGTGAGGTACGGTAAGCTGATCGCCTCCTCTCTGTCTCTTCCCCCCTTCTCCCTGCAGGCTGAAGGTGAGACCCCGGAGCAAGGGCGGGAGAATGGAGTCTACCCTCTCGCTCACCTCCTCCTCTCTCCCTTTTCCTTTCCCCTCCAGCAGCACCCTGCCTGGACCACAGAGGAGTCCCCCCCTCCCCTAATCCCCCCTTCTCTCTCCACTTCCCAGCAGCCTCAGCATCATGGCGCTCTGCTTGGCTGAGGTAGGTACAGGTAGGTACGCATGGGGGTGAAGTGTGGGGAGGGTGGGTGGGGGCATGGGAGCAAGCGGGGAGTCCACTGCCTTAGGGGCAGCATCCTCTGGGGTTGTGACTTGTGAGTCGGGGTGTGGTGGGTGGAATCTGTGCGGCACGGCACTCGGTGCTCAAGTAACTAATCTGACGTTAAGGCTTAATGGGCACCGTCAGAGCCGACCGGCCGGCGGCTCTGGTTCGCGTCAGCTCTAGCTACGTCAGAGGCGGGATTTGAGTCTTGGGCTGGAAGCTATTTTCCACTACCACACTTCATCCCACAAGGCTCAGCCTCATGGGTTGTTGTTTCCTTAAGGAAGTGGGCTTTCTGCTGCTCCTACTGCTGGCAGGTGAGGGGATGGGCTGGGTGGGTGAGTGACAGGGAAGGGGGCTGAATCCCCTTCAGTGAGAGAGTGATGAGAAGGGGGCTGAATCCCCTTGGGTGGGTGAGTATAAGGGGAAGTGGGCTGAATGCCCTTGGGTGGGTGAGTATAAAGGAAAGGGGGCTGAATCCCCTTGGGTGGGTGAGTATAAGGGGGTTGAATCCCCTTGGGTGGGTGAGTATAAGGGAAGGGGTCTGAATCCCCTTGGGTGGGTGAGTATAAGGGAAGAGGGATGAATCCTCTTGGGTGGATGTGTATAAGGGAAGGGGGCCGAATCCCCTTGGGTGGGTGAGTATAAGGAAAGGGGGCTGAATCCCCTTGGGTGGGTGAGTATAAGGGAAGGTTGATGAATCTTCTTGGGTGGGTGAGTATAAGGAAAGGGGGCTGAATCCCCTTGGGTAGGTGAGTAGAAGGGAAGGGGGCTGAATCCCCTTGGGTGGGTGAGTATAAGGAAAGGGGGCTGAATCCCCTTGGGTGGGTGAGTATATGGAAATGGGGCTGAAACCCCTTGGATGGGTGAGTATAAGGGAAAGGGGATCAATCCCCTTGGGTGGGTGAGTATAAGGGAAGGGGGATGAATCCCCTTGGGTGGGTAAGTATAAGGGAAGGGGGTTAAAACCCCTTGGGTGGGTGAGTATAAGGGAGGGGGCTGAATGGGTGGGTGAGTATAAGTTAAGGGTGCTGAATCCCCTTGGGTGGGTGAGTAGGTAGATAGTTTGAGGATTGAATCGCCTGCTCCTAATGCTGGCAGGTGAAGGTGGGGATGGGCTGGGTGGGTTGGTGGTGATAAGTGGGTGTATGGCTGGATAAGGGTGAGTGGGTAAGTGGGTGGTTGGGTGGTTGTTGATTGGCTGGTTAGGTAAGATGCGGGTGGGTGGGTTGGTAAGTGGTTGGCTGGGTGAGTGGGTGGATGTATGGGTGGCTTGGTGGGTAACTGGGTGGTTGGTAGGTGGTGGATGGGTAATGGGTTGCTTGGTGTCTGATTGGGTGGGTATGCGGGTGAATGGGTGGGTAGGTGTGTGGGTAGGTGGTCGAATGGGTGGGTGGGTTATGGGTTTGTAAGTGATTAGGTGGGTGAGTAGGTGGTTGGTTGGGTGGGTGGGTGTTGGGTGGTAAGCACGTGGGTTAGTGGGTAGGGTAGGTGGGGTGGGTGTCTAATGGGGTCGGTAGGTGGTGGGTGGTGCGTTGGGCGGTTGAGTGTGTGAGTGATTGGGTTGCTGGCTGAGTTGGTGGGTAGGTGGGTGATGGGCCGGTTGTGGTTACGTTGGTGGTGGGTAGGTGGGTAGGTGGGTGGCGCACAGTGAGTTGGCCATGGTGTGTTGTGATTAGGGTGGGGTGGCTGGTCAAGTGAGAGGTGGGTGGTGGTGATTGGTGAGATAGTGAAGAGTGACACGAGGGCGCAGGTGAGGTATTGAGAAATGGACACAGGGTGGGTGAGATAAGGGGGAATGTGGGAGTACCGTAAGCCC